GTTGCCTAAACTTTTCTATTGTCTCAAAGAGGCAGAGAAGGAATCGGAGGGATGGATGCCTATATATTTGGAAGTGACCAAGGTACAGAAAATAAAAGAGGGTCAGGGTGTTAGGAGACACTCCCTCCACCCCTGGATTCTAAAGGGAATCTTCCCACTTGCGTTCCGCAGCCTGAGGTTGCTTTGGGTAGATTCTGCTCCCGTGGGATACTAGCCTGGGTTGAGGCTTTATGTACCTGCATGGAAGAAGTGGCGCAGAGCATTATACACAACATATGGGGCCCCATTAGCATTTAGTGAGTGCTCAGCTGTGCACAGTGTCTCCTTAATGAATCACATGCAAGCTGAGCATCGCTATATTTATCCAAGCCCTGGGAGCGGGAGTGCTGGCTGTGGTCGGACTCGCATGCCCCAGAACAGTGCCTTGCAGGTTGTTCCAGTTTTCCTTGTGGTCAGGGCCTTAGGGCCCTTCAATAATTTGTTCCCTGGCAGAATCTGCTGGTTTCTGAAGTATCTTTCCAGGGGTTCTAGGCCAGAAGACAATGTTTACGTCCTGAAGCTATAACAGAGCCCAAGCCCTAAAAAAGAACCTGGAAGCTACATCTGCTGTGCCCTTGACTTGAAGGCCACATTTGAAGACTTGCAGACAGATGAGGCATTTTTCTTTTCAAGCTTTTCAAGGGAGGTCCCACTATGCTTAATCACCCTGCTATCATCAGATTACATCTTCCTTATAATCTAAAACCTTTATGAAGTTTTTTCCTTAGTCACTCCTTACTTGAAATATTTTTTTATAGCTGAGCATTGGTGGCATGTGCCTATAGTCCCAGCTACTCAGGAGCATGAGGCTGGTGGATCCCTTGAGTCTGGGAGTTTGAGGCCAGCCGAGGCAACATATTGAGACCCCATATCTTACAAAATATTCCTCTTATGCTCAGATCAGAGAGCTTGTCTATACAATCACTTCTGTGCTTAGGAATCAGAAACAAGAATTTCTAATGTTTACTTAACGCTGATTAAATGCCAGCTACAATATTAAGCACTTGAATATTAAGTGCTACAATATTAAGCATTTTTCACCTCAAAATAACCATTTGAATGAGAGTTAGAACTCTATTTTATTAGGAATAAAAGTAAAATTTCAGAAAAGTAACTAACTGAGGATACACAGCAAGTATATGGAGGAGTCTGGCTTGATAGCAAAGCCCTTTATATGAAATAGATTTTTCTTTCCTTTCTTCTTCCCAGATGTAGTCATGTCCTGTGACTCTTCTTCCCATTCCCAACCATTCCTCACCTAAAAATAAATAAATATTTTAAAATATGTATATATTTTAGAGATATGTATCTTTATACTTTTAAGGTTTATATAGATAATATATAATTATATATTTATATTTATATAAATTTATATATTTATTTATATTTAAATATATAAATTTATATATAAATACATTTATATGTTAAATTTATTTATATTTAATAACTATTTATAATAAATTATATTATAAATTTATATTTAAATTTGTATTTTTTATAAATTTAAATAAAATTTACCTTTAAATTATAAATTTAAGATTTATATAACATCTATATAATTTTCCCCCATTTTCTCCCTTGAATTGTTTTTTATCGTTTATAAACTTAGACAAGTGCAAGATCTATTTTTATCCCTGGACTTAAGTGTGGTGTCAAGGCACTTAACTTGTGAAATGAATAGCAGGGAGCGGATTGGATTCCCTCCGGGGGTGGAGTCCCGTAATGGTGGGTTCCTGAGATTTATATCATCTGCCTTCCTATGTTAGATACTCAAAACATAGAAGAATACCTGTTTCTGGTTCAAGCTATATCACTAGCACAGTCTGTGACCTAAAGCAGATCACTTCTTTTCTTTTGAAAATTAAATTTAGTTTCCTACGAAATTTAAAGTTGAACAGAGAGCCTTGGTTTGGTCTTACAGACTGAAAATCTCTTTTCCTTTCAGCTCAGTCACATAATATTTACAAGATGGTGAAGCCAAGTCATTTGCCCACTCTGGCTCTCAGTCTCTTCATCTGCACAATAAGAGCATGAACTAAATGCTCACTGGACATCTCAGCAGCTCTTGGTTTCAAACCCAGGGGAGTTTCAGGAAGAAGCCTGCTCTACTCTGCCAAGCTGTGACTAGTGAGGGTTTGCAATGAAACCAACTGGGGTTAGTCTAGGCGAAAAGAGAGTTTATTGTAAAGATATTTGTACAGCTCATAACATCCAAAAAACAGTTAAATAATGAGACACAGAGAGGAAGGGAACCAGGATAGCCTCAGAGATCTCTTCAGCAGGAGCTCATGACCCTTCCCCCTGGAGTGCTGCCATTTAGATGACTCCAAAAAAGCCTGTTTTTATGTTTCTTTCTTAAAAATGACAAATTCCAGAAGGAAAACTGCCAGGGGGCCATTCAGTTATGGAGGGCGGGTTGGACAGGCCAATCAACAGGAAAGTATTGCTTGAGCCCAGCCTTGTTGAAGGAGCAGGTGGTTCCCAGGAGGAGCTGGGCAGAACCCCCCACCACACACACAGGGACACCCTACAGAAAGATCCCATGTGTCTGTAAATGCTTGGGCAGCCAGGTCTGGGTGTTAAATGTGGATGGGAGACTCTAGACCGGGAGCAGCCATGGTGATGCAGTTCATTCAGTGTTTTCAGGCGGCTGTGCCTCATGGAAAGAGTAGCAGACTTCAAGGCAAGAGATGTGATGGGTGGGATTGCCGGTGGCTGTGGGCACAGAGAAAGACATCTTGCTGGGAGGCTGACCACCACTGTGCTGGATTATGATCCTCTCTTTTCAGCCAGGTCAAGCACAGGGTACTCTGGTCCCATCTTTTCCACTTTGATGGCATCTGGGCAAGTTTCAACCTCTTGAGAGTTTTTCTGTTTCCTTATCTGTGAAATGGGGATGAGAGCAATGATAATCACGCTATTCTTCCCATTGACAATAGTACGGCAGGCACTAACAACTGCTGGGGACAGGCACTGTGTTGAGCGCTTCCCGTGTGGGTCGGTCCTTGCTATCCTCTGACATAGTACTATTACAATTTCTACTTTGCCCATGGGAAGCAAGGCTTGTAGAAATTAAGGGGGGCAGTAAAGTGTAGAGCAAAGCAGAGTACAAAGAGACTGAGAGACTGAACTCAGGAGCTGATGGCCATGTTTGAATTCTGGCTCTGACACTCACCGGCCTGGTATTCTCCGGCATGTGTGTAAGCTTCATTAATTTGTTAAGTGGGCATGATGCTAGTGCCTGCCTCATGCTGAGGTTGTGAGGAATGAGTGATTTAACACGCATCCAGGATGGTGCCTGGAGCAGAGCGATGCTCTGTAATGTTTGCTGTTGTAATAAAGTGCCCGCTGGACAGTGGGGATTTGAATCCGAAGTGGATCGACGTGAGAATTCATATGCTGTGGCAGATATCTCTGGTGGTGGGACAAGAAGGCTCAGCAGTGAGCAGTGTAAAAGCTGGGGTGGGGGCGAATTAGCGGAAGAAGCTATGGATCTAAGGAGAGGAAGAGAATGAGGAGCCCTAGGCACGAGGCCACTTCAGGGCTCCTTGTCTCTGTGACCTTGAGCTGGACACCCAGAAGGTCAGTAGCAATTGCTGAGTCCCCATAACCGATGGGAACGTTCAGCACTGACTTCCCTTACACTTCTGACTTCAGGAGGGCTTTAGAGAGGGGGTTAGTTAGAAAAAGAAGGAAAGAAAGACAGAGAGTGACTAAGACAGAAAGAGAGTGATGGAGTCAGGGAGTAGGGGTGGTGGGGGAAGAGAACTAGATATAAAGACAGAGGCCCAAGGAGAGAAAGAGAGTGATTAACACTCAGGAAGATGAAAAGAAGGGACACACACTTAGAGCTAGAGAAATGAAGCAGAAAAATAGGAAAGAAGGGTGAGGGGAAGAGTGGGGATTTTGCAGAGACAGCGCTGAGGGGGCCGTGACTGGCTGGCCTGCTCTGTGGTCGATGGGCAAACAAACCTGTTAAGTGTGTCAGTGCTTTATCTAGGAAAGCACCTTTGCCAAGGCCCGGGCGCACTGAGGAGCCTTTTGAGTGTGTAGGGCTGTGATAGGAGAGACTCTCTTTATCTGTATTGGAGACAGGAGCGCTCTTCTGTGCATTTCACACCGGATGCCACAGATTAGGCTGTGGATATTTCACGGTTGGCAGTAAATGCTTGTTTGGAGAAGCCTTGAGCTGAACAACACTCCTAAGGCTGGGGGAAGGGGTTGATAAGAGTCAGGTATCTGGAGACTGGTTTTATATGAGGAGCTGGTTCTATGCAATTTTACACTTGTATATTATTATAGGCATTGAAAGTCCCTGGAAGGATCCATGAAAATGTTGACAATAGCTAACCTCCCTGCTTGGATTAATGAGGAGTCTCGCTTTCTAAGTTATGTATTTCAATTAGGTTTACATGTTTTACAATGTAGGGCCTTTATAATCAGAGCAACAACAGCTTGAGTTAAGGTAATAAGTACACTCCTGAAATGAGGGCAGGGAAGGCAAGGACCCCTGACATAAAACGGGTTGTTGGTACTCATCTGACAAGCAGGCAATGGCTAGGTGGAAATGGCAGCACATTCGAAACTATTTCTCCTTGATGTTTCCAAGATACTTTGAAAATCTGATGACCATGATCCTCTGATTCTTGCAGAGGGGTGAAAATTATTAATGTCCCCTCAGCTCAGACAAATTTCGTTCCTTTGCGGTTTCCTTGGGGTTTAAAAAATACAGCAGAAGGCGTATTCCCTGTTAGTTGGTGGGTTTCTATTGGGTGTGGTGGATATGGGGCTTTTCTCTTGAGAGAATGATGCACGCAGCATCTGCAGCATCCTCTCCTCCCTGAAGTTGCCATCTCCCACTCCTTTTTGTTTTAAATTTTAAATGAAGTTTATGCCTGGTACACACTTTTAAAGGTATTGTCTGTTCGCTTGAGAAATGACCCAGATGTATCTTGTTTCAGGCTTTACGAAGGCAAAGAACAGATGGAGTTTGAAGAATCCATGAGACGGCTCTTTGAGTCTATCAACAATCTGATGAAAAGTCAATACAAAACTACCATCCTTTTGCAGGTTGGTTTACACTACAATAAAATCTGTCTTTTCCTTGGTCATCCAGTAAATAGCAGCATGCTAAGATAATGTCTTCTTTTGCTGAAATATGCAAACTTGTGTCAAGTGAAGGCCTGGGCTGGCCAGTTGGTTGAAGACCAAGGGCTCCTCAGGACAAGAGAAAACAGATTTATTGTTTGCTTCCCGTGAAGGCAGCGGTGCCTTCTTTTAAAATAGCTCTGAAGCTTTTGTTGCCTGGAAGGAAATCAGTCAAACTGGATCCACTTCCGATGGAGAGAGTAGTTATGGGGGCAGTCTCTTAAACCGAGGCTCCAATAGTTTATTTTTAATTCTCAACAACATAAAGTCAGGGACTCTTTTGGGATTAAAGAGAGCTCCTCAATAAACAAGAGGTACTTTGGAGAGAATGAGTCCTCTAATGTGTGGTCCATGATGCTAATCTGCAGATTCTACAAATCTTTGAGAAACTGTGAGGCCTACCCCTGTGTTTAAGAAAGAGTTGAGCAGCAGAGAGTCTGAATGAAGAGGTTGTTTCAGGGAGACTTCAGAACTTCCACAGAATGTACTTGCAAGCGCTGGGGGTGTGGGTGGGGGAAGCTGGGAGTGCTTCATTTGTTGTGAATAAAGGAAGCCCAAACACATTTATCTAAATTAATAAGTTAATGCAGATTGCTGCTGCTTTTAAAAAAATCGATGTTATTCTTTTAGTTGCTAATTCTAACCAGTGCCTGGGATGCCCAGGCACTGGTTAGAATTAACGAAGTACTAGTGTTTAGCTAGAATGAAGGGGAGGAAGCAGAGGCAGAAGTCTGCCTGGGGAATGTTCGCTTCTCACACTATGGGTTCCAGACTCTGTATGTTACAATTGTGTGGGGATCTTTAATAAATTTTGATGCCTGGTTACAACTGTAACCAGGGGAGCATACCCAGCTCCCAGTTCTGAAGAGGCTCTAGGCCCCGGAAGAGTGGAGAAAGGGGCCCCAGAGGCACGGTGAGTTTGCCGTTTGAATAAATATCATGTACCCAAAGAGTTTTGTAGAAAAGCAATTTATTAGAAAGGGTTGGGAGGAGAGAGGGCAGAGCGGGAGCAAGAGAGAGGAGAAAGCGGGGTTGAGAGAGAGCTTCCATGCTGTTGTGGGATGGGAACCCAGACTGGGAAATCCCTAGAGGTAGGAGCAGCTTAAGTTTTAACCCTTGAGTTATTCCCACCCCCATTCATGTTCTCGTCCAATGAGAGGAGTTCTTTCAAACTTCCTCTGGAGTGATTGATCTTTGACTCTGATACTGCATTGGCTACTTGGTCCACAATGCTGAGTTACAGAGCCCGCTCCTCCCAGAGCTTTCAGAGATTTTGGGACAAAAGAGCCCCACCTGGCTTTCCCTCCCTGGCCCGCTGTAGGCGAAAATCAGACAAGGAATTTCACATTTGAAGCCCCTCTGATTCCCGGATGGAGGCGTGGAGGAGGTGCTCAAAGGAAATCCCTCCGTTTGAAACCACACCCCTCAGGGACCCAGGAAGAGAAGTCCCTCACAACCACCAGACTTTCTGATTTAATTGCTATGAAGTGTGACCCAGGCCAGGTGATTTTAATGTGAAGCAAAGTTTGAGAACCACTCTGCTGATGGCTTCCTTTAATTTAACAAATAGTGGAAACTTGTGTGTTGGGGAAGACTTTGTTTTATTCATGTGTCTTCAACACTCAAAATAACCCTAATAATCCAAACATTTATTCTCCTCAGAATGTATATCTATATTTCTTGATCAAACTGAATAATTGAATGTCCTAACACTATTTGGTCTTGTGTAACAAGGTTAAGGACACAAATACCTACCTTCAGAATCCACACTAGTAAATACCCAAAAAGCTTCTGTTTTATAATGAAGTAAAGGAGGAAGAGATATAAATGATTAAAAATGATTTAAGTTAAACTATGTAACAAACTTTACACTTCATGCTCCACTTATATTTATTTTACCCTCTCAATAATCCCCTAAATTATACATTAGGCCTCCCATGTTATAAAATGATAAACTGAGGCTCAGAAAACTGAAATGGTGTGCTTGGGGCTACATGCCCCCATCTCTCTGGTCTAAAGCCAAAGCTCCTTCTCCTGCACCAAATGTCACAGACTATAGAAGACTCCTTGTGTGGGATTTGCCAACATCACACAGGCTTGACCCCTCTGCTTTCATCATTAAGTTCTCTTTAGATGGTACTGCTCTTCATATTTGAAAATAACTTTAAATTCTTCTTTGATAAGTTTTCAGCAGCCATATAAGTAGGTGGAAAGTATCATTGATTTTATGAAAATCCCTGAGGCTAAATTTGGTCCTTAGAGCAAATTGAAAAAGAGATAAAGCCCCTTTGTATGTCTCTGGCGTAGAAATCTGCAAGAAGAAACCAGTATAATCTGGCCCAAATCACAAGGAAAACAAGGCATTTCTAACACAGCTACCTGGACAAGAAGAACCTGGGTAAAAAGACTTATGCCAAAACCATAATAATCATATTAGTTCTCTAATCCTAATATTAGGATTATCCTGAGTGTTGAAAGCACAATGATTAGTGTGTCTTCAATTAATAATCATTTATTAGTTGATGCTTAATAGGTATCTCTTGCATTAATTCATAACACTAGGGATAGGTCTTAAGGTCTTTATTTTATTGATGAGGGAATTGAAGCTCAGACAGTTGAAACAGCTTCCTCCAGGCACCATTCCTGAGAAGTGGGATGGCTCAGATTCATAACTATTCCTTCCTGGCTCCGAAGACCATATTCACTGCCACAACATTAGCATGTTCTTTATACTGTTTATTTAGGCCCTACTGGGGATGGATGTCTTCCCTTGGATTAGTTGGGACTGCAGTCTTTTAGTTTTCATTTTCCCTTACTCACTGCTGGTTAAAAAGCAAACCAACAAACTAAAAACATCTTCCTCATATTCCTAACACCCCCATCATTCTGTGACAAAGGGGATAACAGGAGCAGGGGACAGCATGAGAAGATGCAGCAGGAGCCCCAGCTGGCCACTGCAGCTGTATCACATTGGAAGTGAGCAGCCACACAGTGCTGGGATATCAGGAGAGAGCCAAGGTTAACCAGTTACCGTGAGACAGGCTATAGGGTTGAATCAGGTGTGAAATCACTTCCAAGGAAGCTGAAGGGTGAAAGAGCAGAAATGATGAGCAAATAGATAAAGCCAGTTCCTCATCCCAGAGGAGAAAGGTGCTGATGCCCCAAAGAAGTGGAGGTGCCACAGAGAAAGAGAAGGATGGAAGAGGGAATAGGTCATTGTGGAGCTACTCTTTCTAATTTCAGCACCTGTTTCTCTATGATGGGCTGCAAATATCTTAGGGGAAGGAACAAAGGGAGAGAGAGTGTAAGAAGGCAGGGAAAGAAAGAAGGAGGGAGGAAGAAAGGAAGCTAGGAAGCAAAGGGGAGCAAGTGAGCATTTGCCATTCTGAAGACACTTGGTCAACAGGAATGCTCTTCTTTATCAGCTCCATGACTGTACTTTGGTCACTTAACTTCTCAATGTCTCAGTTTCCTCATCTATGAATGTTCATTGTGTGGGTGGGGATCAAATGAGCATTGTCTGCAAAAGAACAAATTATAACACACTATGCAAATGCAATGAACTATTTCGATTATTATGGTTTTGGCATAAGTCTTTTTACCCAGGTTTCTTCTTGTCCAGGTGGCTATGTAGAAATACATTGCTTTCCTTGTAATTTGGGCCAGGTTTGTTGGTTTGTTCTCATAGATTTCCACCCCAGAGACATAGAAAGGGGCTTCATCTCTTTTTCAATTTCCTCTAAGGGCCAAATTTAGCCTCAGGAATTTTCATAAAGCCAGTGATGCTTTCCACTTATTTATATGGCTGTTGAAAACTTATCCATGAAGAATTTAAAGTAATACTCAAATATGGAAAGCAGTACCATATGAAGAGAACTTAATGATGAGGGCAGAGGGGTCGGCCCGTGTGATGTTTGCAAATCCCACACAAGGAGTCTTCTATAGACTTTGACATTTGTTACAGGAGGAGCTTTGGCTTTTGACCAGAGAAATGTGGGCATGTAGCCTTGAACTCATCATTTCAGCTTTCTGAGCCTCAGTTTATCCTTTTATAACGTGAGAGGCCTAATGTATAATTTAGGGGATTATTGAGAGAGTAAAATGAAGTAACATATGTGAAGCATGAAGCATAAAGCCTGTTACATAGTTTGGTTTAAATCATTTTTAATCATTTATACGTCTTCCTCCTTTACCTCATCATAAAACAGAAGTTTTTTGGGTATTTTGCTACTGAGGATTCTGAAGGTGGGTATTTGTGTTTCTAGTCTTGTTACACAAGACCAAATAGTGTTAGTACATTCAGTTATTCAGTCAGATCAAGAAATGTAGATACACATTCTGAAAAGAATAAACCCACAAGAAGTGACTGTATGAAAAAACATGGCATGGGAATATTTCACCTAGTGAAATAACATGAGGTGGCCAGAGTCTTGATACTGCGCCTGCATGGGGTGTGAGCTGTTAGCAACATCAGCCATAAGTGCTGGGGCTGGGGGTGGGGGCGGAGTGGTGGTGCAGAGAATAGGATTGCCCGTGGTTGATGTTCCTGGTTCAAACTTTTTGCATCCAGCTGGATAGCAGCTTATGTTGGAAACCCCCTTTTGTGCGCAGCTCAATTGTGAGTAGAGCAGATCTGGTTCAAATCTCAGCTGTGTCCACTGTGAATTCTGAAACCTAAGCAAGTTATTACTCATCTCTAATGCTTACCCCGCTTTTGTGAGTTGCTTTCTGTGGTTTTTCTTATTCTGAGTTGGCATGGCAGCAGCTCACCAAGACCATGGAGAATTTAAAGCCAGAAGTTCAAAGAGGAGAGGAGCAATAAAAACACTTTCCACTGATTACCTACCATGTTCCAGGCATGGAACTGGGCCCTTCACGTACAGTGTTTTAAATCTTGCCAGAGATCTTCAAGGAGCCACTAT